TGCAACAAAGAGAATGGAATTTATGCAGCACTCGTAAAAGCGCAGCAGTTTCAAGAGGAGCATGAGAATGCGAAAAGAAAAACATCCCCGGCCGAAGAACTTCCGCCACTCGTTTTTCGCAGATCTTCGTTTGTTTTATAATCACTAATGAACATGAATTTAAAGCTCTTCGTCAACTTTACTCCGTAATTTTATGCTGATCAGTCTCTGCAGCTCTGTACCGTCTACCTCCTTAATTCCCGCGCAGAGCTCCTACAGCAATTCTTGCATTCTGGAAGCAGTATTCGTGACGCTTGCAAACGGATCTCAAAATACACGGGTTGCTTTTGTTGCTAACGCAGAAAGCATTTTGATGTTGAAATGTTACTGTGTTGTATAGGCATGCTGGAACGGAAAAAGACATTATCTTTGGGAAGCTGTCGTTTGCACTCTCCGAAGGTCTGCATCTGCATTTAGGTTTGGGGAATCGAAACACCCGTCTTTTCATTCGGGCACTACATGCTAAACCATATTTATATGTGCAGTGGTTCAGCATATATATATGTATATATGTATATATATACATATATATATGCAGTGGTTTAGCATATATATATATACATATACATATATATATATACATATATATATATAGCTGTGCCAAAAATGATATGTACTGTTTGTACGAGGAGAGCACAACCCTCAAAGTTAACCAACCGGCTTTCCGTGCGACTTCCTTTGACAGTTATAGTCTTTAGGAAGCTGTCGCTTGTATCCTTCGGAGGACTTTGTTTTTGCTTTTTTCTTTTTTAAGCCACATATTTGGCTTTTACACCACGCGGCGCCAGTGAATTGGGAGTGGGATCTGCTTCGCTGCGGCAATCAGCTTTTGGAGCATGAACAGTGATCTTGACTAAGGTTGCTTCAAAAAAGCAAGTCTTTCAAATCGAAAGTAAATAAAGTGCTGAGTGTTTTAGTTCTTTCTGACTGAGTGCGGGGCGAATAATTGTTCGAAAGCTATGCGAGTTAGCTTCAATGCAATGTACAAAACATTGCAGTGTCGAGCATCGAAACTCATCGACCTACAGTGTACCTTCCTCGGTGGCCAGAGCTAGCATCATAAGCAGTGTATTCGTGCCGCGCGAGTCCATTGTGGAGGAAGAGAAAGCAGCGGCAGAACTTACTGAAAAGGTATGAACCACACCCAAGGAAGTTTTCCAACTCTTTCGAGTCTTCCGCATCTCTGCTCAGATTGCAGGTACGGTAAAATTTTTGGCGGAAAAAGATCTATTAGACCGAAGAAAATAAAATTCTCAGAAGAAAACTGAGCTGAACTCAATTCTGGAAAAACATCAAATACTGAAATTTAAATTTTTCTCATAATTGCCAGTAGTGTTTGGGCAACTGCCCACAAGCCCACTGAAATGAGAAGACTTAAATTCCATCTCTAGAAATTGAGTGTTCCTGTTAGGATCGTCAGAATTCAAAGTAAAGTTAATCATAATGCCATGGTTTTCGGATATCAAAAAGAAAATTAATAACCTGTTTGGTCCAGACTGCACACTGAATCAAGCATTTTAGAAAAAAGGGCCGACTGGACTGTGGCAACTGTACGCGAACTGTCAAGGCAACTACACGAAATTAGTGGCAGCAACTTTGATCTCAATAGTACGTGGGTTGGAACTACCTGCTCATGTGGCCCTCTCTAATTTGACATTTAAAGCGTATTCGAATACGAATTCCGACGTGATGATGCGTGGAATGCTGGTGATCTTCATAACTTACACTCTGCTCGGCATTGCTTGCCTCATCGTCATCTTTGCTGCGGTAGGTTGTTCAGCTACCAATAAATGAAGTCTGGAAAAAGTGCTAAGCTGGATGTGTGCAACTTATTGGATTGTGCCTAGTAGCCATAGCAGGGGTTTTTTGCTTCGGTGGAGGCATTATAGAAAGTACACATAGAATAAAAGTAATACATAAGTCTTAAAGAAATTACGATAATTGTTATTATAATAGTAATAATAAGTCAAAATATAAAATGTAGCCATGGCAATATAAGCAATATGACGAAGTACTGATACTAATAATGCCAATACTAGTGATGTGATATATTAATAACAACAGTAATAACAGTAGTAACAATAACAATAAAACTAGTAGCAATAATTATGACAATAATAAAAATGATAATAATGATGATGATAATAAGAATGATGACGATAGTAATAATGATAATAATAACAATGATAATAATATTGATGACAATAACAATAACAATAATAAAGATTGCATGCAAGGGTGTATTTCCAGCATTGATCTGCAAGGTATTGCCTGTACAATGTCCGCTGCAGTAAAAAATAGCTAGTAAACTAATTTTTTTAAACTCCTGGTTTTATTAATTAACTTTTCCATAATTGCTGTAACCGATGCTACATCATTTGGCGCTAGTATGCTAGAGGTCCTAGTGTTCACTCCACGCTTTCTCCCCTGTTCTGGAAAAGATGATGTGTCACATCCCCTCCGCCATTTTTTTTTCTGATTGTCATTGTTACGATGCTAAGCAATATTTTACCTTGGAAGCGCACAGGATTCTGTGTGCAAAGATATTTGCAGCTGCAACAGAAAGCTACGTCTAGTCCCACATGGCCCCTTAAAGCAACTAACATCATTCCATATTTTTATAAATTTTTAATTTTTCACTACATGAGGGCTGCATTCCAGACTTTTGCATTTGGCTGGACTGCAGAGTGTGTTGTGGACTCGCTGCGTCTTCGAGCTCTCCGGAATGTGCTTTACCAGGACGCCGCATATTTTGATGTGCCCGCGCGAAGTCCAGCTCTTACGGTGACACGCATCTCAGTGGATGCGCCCAATATCAAAGCAGTTAAATATTTTTTTGTTGAAAAACAATAGATTCTGTGTTGCGTACAAATTACAAATTCAACAAGCGCATTGACAGAATGAGCAAAAGACGAATAAGAACTCTTAATTCGTGAAAAAACTTGTAATTTTCGGTCTGTAATAACTTTAACCTTCTTTTTTTTTACAACATTTGGAGATACTGACGAAATTACTGAGCAGCTGGTGCTACCAATGCTAATGCAAGCTTAAATTGACCTATTGCAGGCGCTGGATTCACGCATGACGCAGATAGTAAACAACATGGCAGGAATTGTTTTTTTACTTATTCTTACCATAATATTCAGCTGGCCAGTTGGTTTGATTGGTGCTGCATGCTTTGTCATACTGATACTCTTCCAGCTGTTTTTTGCTCGACGTATGCAAAAGCTTAATGCACAGGCGCTGAGGCGA